CTAGACAGTTAATCTTGGTATTTTTTTAACTCTAAACACCAGACCAAAATATACGCAGTGACGTGAATCTGTGGATCAGTAGCTCAAAATCTACAGAATGGTCAACAAATTCATAGATGAAGATTTCCTACCATTTTCCTAGTAAGACCATGACACTCCCTGCCAACATGTTTAATTTTGAAATTTGGTTTGGAAATGTTTTTATATATATTGAATGATTGTTTTTAAAATTTATTTATTTTTGGGGGCAGTAGAATAAACTAATGCTACTGAAACAATGCATCCATCAATAATATGAAGGGAAAAGGATGAAGGATTATGTGGACAAGAGACTGCGTTTCAACTCGCATACCTGTTTTTAATGAAGACCAAAGCAGTCTTAAGAGCAAATTAACTACAAACCCCAGAAATTAAAATATGCAAAGTAAAAATTAACAATATTTCATGGCAATTTTCATGATTTTACTAGGCAATATCTTATTTCCTGACTTGACTGAATTTTAAACCCCCCCCCCCCTGGACACACTTTGTCTATTTAAAATGCTGACAACTTTTGTAAACCTAGTAGTGGACAAAGTGGATTTGCAATATTTCCACCTTTTCTCTATTGCATATTCATTTACTCATCAAAATAACCATCCCCTCCAAAATAGTGCATTATGTATGTCCCATTAACTTCATTACTTTACTAGAATCGACAAAGACAAGTCACTCCCGTATAGTAATACCACAACATTACATTAATAATGACCTAAAAAGAAAAGAAAAATCGAAAAAGCGACATTTCATGGAGTCAGTATCACATGTTCCTACTTTATTTAACAGTTTTTCAGGATTGATTTAAATGAGGAAACAAGTTAGACTTGGTACTAGGCTTTATGAATTTGGTATATTGATGCCTTAATGGGCACTCTAGATAATCAGTTCCATAAATGTTTCAGAATTCCCATCATTAAAACAATGAACAAAATTAAAATGATATTCACTTACAAAAGATGATTATTACAACAATAAGAGGATCATTTTGGGCCAAGAAAGAAGAACAAGACCGAGAAAAAAATATTTTTAAACTATATCATAATTGATAGGGTTCTGGTTGTTTTGGCAAATGTACTGGAATACAGTAGAAGCAAGACTATACTAGCAGCAACCATAGCAAGATGTTTAGAATATAATAATGGAATCAAAGGACTTCTACTGAACATTATGAAACTAACTGGCTGACAAGACCCTGGGCCAATTCTTTACATTTCACAGTCATTTATTAGAACTTTTGCGAAGCACCATCAATTTCAGACAATGCACATCTACCATAGAATTTGAGAGAATCATAGAAGCCATAAAAATCTTTATGACAAATTATCAAATCTAAATTACAAATATTGTTACTATTAATTTCAAAATCAATGGAAGTATATTCAGAAACTATCTTTTGTCAAACAAATTAAGCATTAATATTATTTTTGAAAAGTAAACTGTCCAACAAATTGAGCAATTTAGCAATTTTTTACAGTGTAGAGTAGAGTGGTTATCAAGAAAGAAAGAAAGAAAGAAAGAAAGAAAGAAAGAAAGAAAGAAAGAAAGAAAGAAAGAAAGAAAGAAAAATAAAGAAAAAAAGAAAGAAAAATAAAGAAAAAAAGGCATGTCCAATTTATTACGCAGAATTGAAATGCCAATGATGCAGCAACTTCCAAAATGTTTGTTTTGAAATTAAACTCCCTTTTACCAAGGATACCGAAACATCAACAAGTGAAGATTGCTGTCAACTCAATGCAAATTCAAATTAATTTAGCCGACTATTGAGAAAATCCCAAAGTGTTTACAATACAAAATGTTCACAAAAAAAATATCAATAAATCTACAACGAACTTACTTCCAAAATAAGCAAATCTCTTATTGTGATTATTTTGAGTATATGTGGACATATAATACTGTTCCTCGCACACAAGAGAAAAAAGTTGAACAGACAACATAATTGGGTTTACTAGAAAATCAATATATATCATTCCCTTAACTACATACAATATTAAAAAGCAATGTTAATTAGTGTCAGTGGGTATCAATACAAAATGTGTGAATATCAAACAATACAAGACAAAATTGTCACATAACTCAAATAATATAATTAAGCAATTAGCACACAAGCAAACCATTTATCGTTTATCATCCAAGTTCAAGGTACAAGAAAATCTATAAATAATGTGTATACAACTTGCTAAAGCTGAAGTTGCCGTCAACATTTTAGTGCGAGCAAGCCAAACTACATGAAGTACACTTTCATACTTGGTAATTCAAAATAAAGCTTTTCTTTCTTTTCACTAATTGCCACTCTTTCATGAATATTCCATGTTAATCATAAAAATTGTATCTAAATGATATTCACACAACATAAGTTTTTATGAAATGTGTTTTAGAGTACTAAACACTGTAAGAAGAAAAACTGCAAAAAGTCATATCATTTAATACAAAACTTTCATAAAGTTCCTTTTAAAAAAACATAGCAACTGCACTGCAACAACACTGAATTCTTTTAGACTAAATAGATGAATTCATTTCCCGTACTCCTTCACTGTTCAATAAGAAAAAAACCATTTCAAAGTGTTTCATAGTTTCAAACTCTGGTAATTCCTTTAAAAATTCTTACAATTATTTCATTAATAGATATAACACTTCAACTTTGAATTAAAAAAGATACTTAAAACATTTTATATAAATTCTTAATGTGGGATAAGATAATTAAATGGTAGGGTTCAGAATTAAAACAAACTAAGTTCCAATTTTCACTAATTTCCTGCTGCATGATCTTAAAACAGTATATTAGCCATTTTTGTCGACAAAAAAGAAATTTATTTTATTATGTATTTTATTTTTATCTGCTAGATGGCCCAAGTTCTTTTTAACACAAGTAACATTATTAACTATCAACTTATCTTTCAGAGTTATAATGGGCCAATTCCTTTGGCTATTCCCTGACACTGGTTTGACTTTGAAATGCTTATTATTAAAGTTGATTTGGTTACTATTATTAAGACAGCGAAGAGAAGAGCTTCTCATTTTAATGACCAGTGTTAATATCTATAAATGAATTTCACAGTCCAAAATCTTTGGAAATGTCAATAACACATAAGAAAAAGGATATCACAGAACATACTATTAACTGGTTTTAATCTTGGAGTACTCGTGCAGACTACATCATAGCTCAGCCATGTAATTTGTGCGGGCGCGCAACTACTAATGAGCAATAATGGTATCAGTAGCTTCAGATATCATCTTACTCTTAGCATCCAGTCAACTTCCATGCTTTCCATAGATAGTTTCAGTTAGTTTTGAAGGCAGTAGGGCCACAATGTAGCCCATGCAAGCATTACTGTAGTGAATGATAGGAAGCAAGTTTGCAACACAGAAAATCCAAATGATAATATACTATTGTCATTTACTAAAGTAATAAACTGTCATGACTGCTGAATGACTCATGGTGAATATAAACAGAGAAATATTTTGTTCTTTAATAAAGAGAGGAGACAACACAGCAAGATTTAAATAGCATTCATTAAAGTTAACAGACATTGATATATTCTATTAAACATTTTGTAATAACAGGGTACTTGTTCAGAAACTTTCTGTGACATTCTTAATGGCTCAAAACTTGTAATTTTAACTTGTGTTACATTTGTAGCCCACACATTATTTCCATTATGAAATGGGTTGAGAGTACTTCAGGATTAATAAATCCATGTTGAGATTTGAAGATTTTTCCACTTGGAGTTTTATTATAAGAAAACTTGACGAAAATAAACTTTTCAAGAAATAAATTTAGAAAAACAATTAGGACAACCCTTTTAGTACCTAGGAAATGTGACAGGATTTTCCTTGCATATCTACAAGGCCAGTGAATACACAAGTTATAGAGACATGAAGTCCTTTTTGCCTCGCATGTCTCTTCAATCCATCACAAAAGAAAGATCTTGCAGAATCTGTGACCGCTGAAGAAATGATAACAAGGGATGATGAAAATCATGAGATTCATTATGATTAAGTATGTTCTGAGAAATTCCCACGGTTTTTCAATTTTTCTTGAATTATAATTTGCTACAATAATAATAATAATAATAATAATAATAATAATAATAATAATAATAATAATAATAATAATAA